AGAAGAAATTGACGAGTTTGAATGAAATAACACATGGGTCTTGCTCCCCTTGTGCAAGGGAAGCCTCTGATTAGGTGTAAATAGATTTGCAAGGTTGATGATCCGTTGCACGTATGAGTTTTAAAAAACTCTTCAAAAGAAAAATAAAGGTTGATGATGAGTTCCCTGTTCTCTGCAGCCACAATGTGAGGTGAAAGTGATGTGGTTAAGGTTTCAGCATGATTTACTATTATGGAGTCTAACTTGGCCACCCTAACAAACAAACCCATGTTCACCATGGCCTATGCGATACTCCTATCCTGGCTCTCAGTCTTGCAACATTTGTAAGAAAGGGGCCCAATCTTCTCTTCCCATCCCCCTTTACCACCGCCATCTTTGCACTCTCACCTTGTCATCCATTTGCAATGTAAGCAAATAGCCAAATGCATTCTTGAATAACTAGAAGCAAATATATATATATATATATATATATATTCTGGAAACTGGTGTTCTGTCACATGAACTTAAATGTTTCACATGCTTCGATTTTATTGGAAATTGACCCGACTTTCAGATAGATTCTGGAAGTTGGTGTCTGTCACTTGAATTTCATCGTTGTCGTCATCATCATCATCATCATCCAGGCCTTATCCCAATGATTTTGGGATCGGCTATCATGACAAGGTGTGGCAAAGTTTTATGCTGGCTGCCTACCTAACGCAACCCACATCTTTTACCCGAGCTTGGGATGGGTTAAGCCAAAAGGAAAGAGAAAGTTTAAGGTCCTTACCCTTATTAGACCAAAGAGCAAGAACGCATATATGGATTCTATTATTAAAACTGGTGTTTGTCACTTGAATTTAAATGTTTCAAATGCTTTGATTTTATTGGAAATCGGCTCAACTTTCAGCTGAATGCATTAGATTCACAAATGATTGCTTGGAAATAGCCCAAAATATTCCATATATGCTGACAGATTTATTTTTCATCAAATAGAAAAAGAGCAGTACACCCCAAGAAAAACTCACTCAACAAGTCTCAATAAAACTTGAAAATAGGCGCACCTCCAGGAAAATGATGTAACTCACGGCCAAATAGTAGTAACACTCTCGAATCTCTTCTGTCTTAAACAATCTTGTAGATTTTCTTTCTTATCTGTAGGTTGGTCTCGCTTTGAGCTCTCCACTTATTTGGTACCACATCAAGAAGACCAAAAGTAAGGTTTCTATGGAACGCTAGATGAAAAGCTCATCGAGCGCCAACTTTCAAAGTCATTTGTCCCATAGTTTTTAATGTACGACATTATTAGAACTTTGTAAAAATGTTTTCCTTTAGACATGAACTATTATTAGCTTGCTTAATTTATTAGAAGCTTGCAACTGTCACTAGTGGGATCGATAAAGACCTACTTTGGATGGTGATGAGAAAACCATCTCATGATTAAAAAAAATATATAATTCTTTTTAAAACATCTAGTATATGTTTCCTGGACATTTATGCACCCTTAGAAATATTTTATTTAAGACTACTTTGAGATCTTGTACTTTTATTCAATTGTGAGACATTTATGCACCTTTAGAAATATTTTAATTGAGACTACTTTGAGATCTTGTACTTTCATTCAATTGTTTTACTTATTCAGAAGTACAAATACTCGCTAATTATTTCTGTTAAGACCTACTTTGGGTGGCGATGGAAAACCACCCATGATTAAAAATAATTGAAAATCACTTTTAAAACCATTAGTTTATACTTCCTGGAAAACTTTTGCACCGTTAGATATATTTTAATCTAATGAACTTTTGAGTTTCTAAAAAATCCCAGGTGAATTTAGAAATTTTTCTTGAAAAATTTCTCAATATCTAACTTAAGAGTTATCACGGGGCAAAAAAATGAAGAAGAAGAAGAAAAAAAACTCGAGACGTATTCCTAAATTTCAAACATAATTGTTTCAGAATTTTTTTTCCACAATCCTTTGGTTGTTTTCCTCTGTTTTAACCTGCAAGAATAAATATTTCTGGCTTGAGCTATTCACTGTGAGTAATTAGATAACAAATATACCTGTTGAGCCTATGACTCCAATTCACAGGCCTACAGCAGCCAACGAGATTATAGTGATGAATGAAATTATATTGAACGGAATTGCTCAGACTTTACATGCACCAAAAAGAGAATTTCTGATGAAAAGAGATAGATGCACTTTGATCTTGTAACAAATTTCATCATTCACTCTTGTGGGACATTCATTGTAGATGGTTCAGCTCCACTCTCTCATCGATTCCTTGGGCAATCTTTCTGTCTCTTGTTGCCCTGTTTTTTGTATCAATTTAATGGTCCTTTTATGTGTTTCTTGTTCCTATCTTCAAATGATACTTTATATGGTAACTTCTTAATTTGTCTGTTTGCTATATTAACGAAATTTCCTTTGTGTTGTTGTCCCGTCCTTTGGAAACTGATACTTTACATTTGCTAATCTTCATATTAGAATGCTCATTGCTTCAAATGCTCTTCTTAACAATTCTTAATGCAATTAGATCATTTATGATCTCTTCATACGATTACTTATGGTTGGGTTAACTGAGTGAATCCTTCACTAGAGATTGAATTGAGCAACTGGATTTCTGTTTATTATGCTTCTTACACACCTTTAAAATGAATGATAAGTCTGCATCTCCTAGGTGCAAATTTTGACTTCTTTGAGACAAATTGCCAAGGCCATCTAACTTTATATTTGTAATTTATTCTCTCTCTTCTTAGGAAGCCTTTCTCTGCCTAAAGCATTGTCACATCTGTTTTGTACAGTTGCTTGCTCACTCACATACATATATGCATACACACATGCAACATAAACATGACCACGTATACACTATTAGTTACATGTGTTTATTTGTGTTGATTTAGATGTACTTATGTGTATCTATACAAATGAATATATGCTTTTTATGTAAGCGTGTATAGACAGTTACATTTTATATTGCTATTAGGAAAGTGTGTATGGAAAGTTGATTTAGATATGCTATGGGTTACATTCTATGTGCAGTTTGCATGCATATTTGAGCTTGTGCCGTTATTTGTGTCCAAAGGTGTTTGTGTAAGGTTTGAGAGAGAGAGAGAGAGAGAGAGAGAGAGAGAGAGAGAGTAGTAGTAGTA